TGTTGATCATTTCCTTCGGTCTTCTAAGATCATCGAATTTCTGTTTCAATTCTTTGTTTTATTACTTCCTCCCTTTTCCGCTGATCTTTTACTTTAATTATATGTTTGACGATATGTTTGACGGGTTTGACCCATGATTTAGCATCTTTTGCCCTTGTATGAGGATCTGTAGATGACCGTAGCGATATATATATGTATATTATATATAATAGATGTATCGTAATTCGTGTGTTTTGTTTAAATTATTGATCCTAATGTGTTCATGTTGCTTAATGTCATTTTTGAGAAGTCATACTTCTGGTGTGTAAGAGGTCTTTTCGTTCTTTTGTAGAATCTTCTAATTACGTGACCTTTCCCGTTGGGATCCACCTTCTCTGGTAAAAGGAATGTTCTTTCTGTACGACCTCGGAGCAGATAATTGAGAGTACTAATTGTCTGACCTTGTTTCTCAATATAAGTGAAAAATAGTGTGTATTATTTTCTTAAGCTTTTAAACTAAAAGATTAAGATCCTTTTAGCGTTCTGAAATATCCTTTTATAAACTAGAGATTGGTCCATCCAATTCTTGCCATGAAGATATTGAAAACATGAAAAAAGCCCCATAATAATGTTTTCGCATTGCTAAACGTACTAGAAAATTACGGTACGAAATTATGTACTGAAAAAAAATTTTAATTTAAAATCTATTCTCTTTGTTCAATAGACTTTACAATCAATATAAGTTTAAAAATATGAGCATACCTTATTTTAAAAATTCGGTACAAAATCTGAAATTAATTTTTACGAGATAAACAAAAAACTTTATCAGATTAGCACACGTGGACTCAAGTAACGAGTTTGTACACAGGTGTCACAGCCATCATATTTATTAGATTATAATTTTGTTACAATTATTGTTTGGTTTTTTAATTTTTTATTGTTTGCAATAATCATTTATTATTTAATATTGTCAGTTATGATATTGGTAAGTATCGGGTATGTTTACGTGTTTAAGAATAAGTTATTTTCGGCCGTTATTCAAAAATTCAAAAATTAATTTTAGGAAAGTCCAACAAGAATTTCTTATAATAGAAAAAATAAGACTGAATGACTTTAAGTTAGAAATCATGCTAGAAATGTGATAATTCATCTACCAGATCTAGGTTTATAAATAGAGCTTTTGCTCCTATTTATATGCGTTGTCGCAATCCCAATGGTTGTCTACTATTTAATCGAGAATATGACTACATTAAGTTGATTAGGGATGTATATTTTATGATTTGATGCACCGTTTTGTATTTTACAAGTAAGTTAATTTTCAATAAATTTAAGTGTATTATTTATGGGTTATTCTTAAGGATCTTCCGCCAGTAGTGATTACTCTTATTGCTAAATTACATTTTAAACATTATAGGAATTAGATCATCTACCATTTGGATCAGATAGTAGTACTATTGTTGAAATCCAATTACAGCAAAAAATACTGCTTCAATGCATGAAAGTTAATTTAAATATTCACTTTTATGCTTAATCGAATTGTATTTGTTCTGGATACTAACAGGTGTAACATTTGGCGCACAATATTGGTTCAATATTCTAGTTTTTCTTGTTGCAGCATTTAAGTGCTTTTTAAATCATTATAATTACTCCTATTTATATGCGTTATCGTAAATCCCAATGGGAGACTACTATTTAATCGAGAATATGATGTTTGAGAATATCAAGTCGATTAGGGATGTATATTTTATGATTTGGGGCACCGTTTTGTATTTACAAGTAAGTTAAAATTTTCAATAAATTTAAATGTATTATTTATGAATTATTTTTAAAGATCTTCCTCCAGTATTGATTGCTCTAATTGCTAAATTACATTTTAAACATTATAGAAATTACTCCACAACTCGAACTAAATCATCTATCATTTGAATCAGATATTACTATTGTTAAATTCCAATCATGGCAACAAATATTGCTTCAATGCATGAAAGTTGATTTGAATATTCACTTTTACGCTTAATCAAATTGTACGTGTTCAGGATCTTAATAGGTGCTCATCCCTCAACATTTGGCGCACAACATTAGTTCAATATTCTAGTTTTCCTTGTTGTAGTGTTCAAGTACTTTCTAAATCATTATAATTGCTCTTTATTTATATGCGTTATCGCAAATCCAATTGGGAGCTACTATTTAATCGAGAATATGGCTAGAAGAAAATGTTTGAGAACATCAAGTTGACTAGGGATGTATATTTTATTATTTGAGGCACCGTTTTGTATTTACAAGTAAGTTAATTTTTTAGTAAATTTAAGTGTATTATTTATGGATTATTTTTAAGGATCTTCCGCCAGTAATGATTACTCTAATTACTAAATTACACTTTAAACTTACTCCACAGCTCAAATTAGATCTATCATTTGGATCGGATAGTACTATTGTTGAATCCAATTACAGCAACAGATACTGCTTCAATGCATGAAAGTTAATCTGAATATTCACTTTTATGCTTAATCAAATTATACGTTGTTCAGGATCCTAACAGGTGTTCATCCCTTAACATTTGACGCACAACATCAGTTCAATATTCTAGTTTTCCTTGTTGCAGCGTATAGAACTTTTTCATCAAATTCAAGTACTTTTTAAATCATAAAAAAGAATTACAACTAAGTATTGAAAGTCTCCTTATTTATCTTTATAATGGTAATTATTTAATTATTTTAATTTAGAATTATAATATTTAAATATTATTTGATTTATTTATATTAATATATTTGTTTTAATAAGCAAAATGATGATAGTTATTTGATTAAACTATTACTCCCAATTTTACGATTCCGAGTGGTGAGACACTATTACATTTATGGCGTGCGAGTAACGCGAGAGAATTCTGGAGACGCAGCAGGAACACTTCATATCAACACATTAACCAGAAAGTATCCTGATTTTACTGCAGAAGAGTTTATGATTTATTGGGAAGCATATGGATGATCTCAGCGAAGTCAAAATCTGGAGAAAATAAAGTGTGCATTATGTGGATAATATTCACAATAGGCTTTTACTTATGAAGTGGTATATTATAATTGAGAAAAAACCTGTGTGACAAGATATGTTATTATATTTAGTGAATTATATTGATCTATATTAATAATTTTCAACCATTCAGAGGATTTTTGGTTACAGGGACGTTAAATTCCTTATTGATGAAGTTGGGATCAAGAGCGTTTGGTGTGTAACGAGGATTATTATGTGGTGTAATGTTTTTCTTTTATCTTGACAGAAAAATAACATCGGAGATTATTTAATATTTCACTTAGACTTTCAGTATATTCTTTAGCGGACCTCTCTTGATTCTTTTACGTGTAGTTGTTAGACCAGAGGTTAAATGAGTTGAAGAGGTAGCACTTATAACTTTAGTAACTGGTTCATTGGAAAAATTACAATTAAATTCGCTGGTGGTTTGTGAATTAGCAGAATATATTAGTATAATTCAATCTATTGATTTGTTGGGTAATCGGATAATGATGAGGCTTCGATGGCAAACAAAATTTAGCAATAATGATGAATCTCAATAATAATCTGGCATGCTTCAAATCGCGCAAAAATTTATTTCAAATGATCAAATACAATAAAGTTTGTATGTGGGTTGTATTAAATAGGAATTAATTAATCATTCTAATAACCGGTGATAATGGTAGGTATTTATTTGGCTTTTATTTTGTAATTATCATATTATAAGAATGTTATACTAATTATTATTTAAATTTAAGAGCGTACCTTGATTAATGGGTTCAGCATGAAGTACGTACAATAATGCTATCATCCGTCTCAAATAATATATTAGCAGATCCACCATCACTCTTATAATTGCCATATAATCATAAACCATGGAAAATGCTAAATCCTTCTTTAAAAGAAGGATGTTATCAAGTTTCTAAAAGCTTCTCCATAAACAAATAAACCAAAATGACCGGAAATATCTGAACAACTCGAACCATTAAATTCAGAAGGAGTGGAAGGCATATTCTTTCAACCTCTTGAACGAAAATTCAAAACTCTTGGAACTTATCCAAATCATTAGGAAGCTTTTAATATTATCCAACCAAATAGAGAAAGTTATTTATTGTGATTTTACAAAAACGAAAGTTCACAACAATGATTTGTTACTAGTGAGAAAAGAAAGCAGAAAAGAATATGGTTATTGCTCAATCTGAAAAGAACAAATGGAAGTTAGACCGTCCGCCGAAACGTCAGAATGTGTTTATTTTATAGGAAGCCGGTCTCGAATTTAAAAGTGAACTCTTGGGTAGAGCGCATCCACCTTGAAGAGCTAGAATTAGGATAAAAAAAGCTAGAGATATTGTCATGGAGGAACACATTTGGGACAAGCTATATTTGGTGCCATTCCGAATTTACCTTCATACATTGAAATTATTATGTAATTTTGATATCACAAATTTCGATACCAAGAGAAAAAACAGCAACATCAAAGTAACATTAAATTGAATTTTTTTCAGAATTATTATTGTTATGAAATAAAATAGCAGCTTGTATTACAGCACCATAAGCAGCTGCTTCATCAGAATTATAGATTTATTTAATTCTTTGCCGTTAAAGAATTCAGATATCTACCAACTAAAATGATTTCGTGGACTTGTTTGTAGATTTTACCATCTTGAAAATAAATCTTGATTCGATTCTTCAAATTTGGCACTTGTCAAAGCAGGATAGAAGTCAATATCTTCAAAAGAGAATCAATTCCAATGATGCGTTTTGCACGTTCGCATTGTTCCTTCGAGCACAATTATCGAGGCAATGAACACCTCCAACAATTCGGAATAAGTATCAATATGGCTGTGGTAGGTTTGGAATATGATTTTTGCATCATAGGAATAAACTACACTTTGATTATTGTTATACCTTCAATAACGCGAATTTAATATTACAGGTGGACGCAGGATTTTTCCCACTCCAACAATTAATTCAGTACTATCAATCATCAAAGGAGCATCAGTTCCAGCCAAAAGATGGTGTATGAAGTTTACGAGTTGCCACTTTTGGTTCACGGTCAGTTTTTGGACTTTTTAAATGATGAAGATTTACCTGACCATACTATTAATACATTCATGAAAGAATTTGTTAATACATGTCAATATACTGGTAAGTTGATAATATAAACCTATTTTTTATGAATCATCCAAGCTTCTAATATTATTTTATCATCAATCTTCAACAGAATATCCCAATAAGAAACCTCCCATATTACGTGCAAATTCCTATAGGAAAAATGTTGAGGAACCATTAAAATAGCTGCTGGTAATATAGCAAAAAGCTATACCTCAGCTTATTTTTTGTGTTCTTCCAAGATTTATATGCTAAAATTAAGCGTGTTGGTGATACAATTATTGGTGTTGCAACACAGTGTAAAGTGAACATATGGATAAACCAAAAAAAAACAATGTTGTGCTAATGTCTGCCTAAAGATGAACGTCAAACTTGAATGAATGAATTCATCCTCATTCCTGATCATCTTCCGTTTGTAATAGAAGAGCCTACTATTTTGATAGCGCAGACATATCACATTCTGATCCCGGTAAACTATTTTTTTTTTCACATGAATTTATTTTTACATAGATTAATAATTATCTTTAATATATTATTTTTGCATTTCTTCAGGCGGCAGCAATCATCCGTCTTCTGTTGCTCTTTGAGCTCTAGAGCATCACGTTATGCAGCGTTAGAGTTCAAATCAGGCGTTACGGAATAATATTGGATTTGACAATATAGTTAAAGAATTGTTGAAAACATTTTATCAGACTTGTGGGAGAAAGCATAGAAGAATATTTTACCGAGATGGTAGGTATTTATTCTATATTATTCTTAGATTTATTTATTCGTGCATTTCGTTAATTTTAATTACGACGAATCTAATGAGAATTAATTTGTTTTTACTATAGCCGCGTGTTAAGTTCTTGATGCTAAGTATAGACCTACTATCCCATTTTTGTGGTACAGAAGAGGGTTTTTTCCAATAAAAAGAGAAAATACTGGTAGGTCGGTGCAAGTAATTAAATTTACATTGATATAAATTTGTAGCATTTTTTAATGACTTAAATCCTTAGATTTATTAAGTCATAAGTCATGCTGGACTACTGGGGACATCTCGACCAACCCATAATCACGTTTTATATGACGAAAACGCAAATATGTAAGTTAATTTGATATGATTGAATAATATGATTAATATACTGTACATAACTAATATATAACGTTATTTATAATCTCTGTTATATATATGCACGTTGCGCACGTACGATATCTTTGGTAAGATTTTAAACTGCATTTGTTATCACTACATTCCGTAAATGATAATAATTGTATTATGTTTAAATAGGCGCCTCCGCTCACTTAATTACCACTAGAACAAAACTCAACTTCACACACGCAGCGAGCCAGGTGGTGCAAGTGAGTGAGTGTCTGTCTGTCTGTCTGTCTGTCTGTCTGTGAGTGAGTGAGTGTATGAAATCTATTTGCGGAATTTGCGAAGCGTAACTTACTTTTGATTCCCGCAAATTGCATGTGATTCAAATCTGCGCATTGCACAACCTTAATTTTTAAAAAATTCCGCAATTTTTGCGCAAATTGCGCTATATCAGATATTCATTTGATTTTGAGGCGGCATATAATTATTGGGCGCAATTACCCTATGCATTAAATTAGATACTTATTTTGACGTGGGATTGGGATTTTGGAATTGGGATATTAGGTATTTGGGTTATGTATGCGCAAATCAGGATTTATTTTGCGCAGATTGCACGTGATTTTTATTGCGCATTGCGCTTGACTTGAATTTCATACACCAACCTTCGGCAGGAGCCACAAAGGGTGACTTATAATTAAATAAAGATATTTCAAATTATTTTTAACTATCTCATTTTCTAAAATAAACTCCCTTTTTAGGTTATGTATTTTGCGTAGCAACTTCACATAAGTGAATAGGAACAACAAGAATATTTTCAATAAATTTCTTCTATATTTTTATTGAAAAAAACTTATTATTTGGCACAATGTGGTGACAATAGTTATTTGTCATTATTAGTAATAAAAAAAATTATTATATTATTTCGAACAAGAAATACAAGCTACTTGGTATCCCATGATTTACATATATTATGATCAGTAAGTTTAATTCTTTTTCCCACACGACTCTTTTTCTTTCTTATTTCTTATTTTTTATTTTTCCTTTCCTATAGTTGTGTCCGAACTCCGAAGACCTTTTCATTTCATCCTTTCCTATCTTTTATTTACCACGTTTCAACAATTTCACTGTTCATGAAGAATTAGGTAAGCTTTGAGTTTGGTAGGATTAGGGTAAGGCCGTAGAATAAGAATAAACATAGAATTATGGTTAAGATAAGGGAAGTCTGCTAGGAGTTAAATGTAGGATTAGGGTTAGGATGACTTATTAATGCAGTTATTTTTTCTTTTTTTTTAGAAATTTAGAAATAAATGATCCTATGTCACTTGTATAATATGAAAATATAATTTTACTTCAACTGGAATATGATTCAGGTGATGATATATCTTTTGAAAATGAGCAGGACAGTTTATTGGCATTTTGATGAACCAACTTTTTATGTTGATCAAAATATTTTTAATGATTGGGAAACAATGCAGCTGATTACTAATGACATCATTTCGTCATTTAGATAATTTCCTTAATTATGTAACTTTATTATGAATAAATCAATAAAATACATTAATATATATGTTAAGTTTTATAACTCTATTATACTTTATATTATTTTATTTGTAAAAGTCGGTCATTTCATGTCATTTCATATGCAAAATAAATAAATTTTTAATAAAAAGGTTGTTACACAAAATCAGTCACAACGACCGTGAACAAAGTTTTCAAGACATATTATAAAAAACTTTCATAATCTTGCAGAAGATAGACCAATACAATAGTTAATAAAAGAAATAACATAATAATACTCTAACGAGCGAATATTTTAACAAACTTGATAACACTAGGTCACGATAGTTAACGTGGCTCGATTTGTCCTTGATTTGTTGAATCGCATTTCTAAGTTATAAAAACGATTTATTTATCGTAATCGAAAAAAACCGCAGTCAAAAAAGTTTATCATGTGGCAATTGTGGCATGACCGCATGAGTGCGTCTAAACATAATAATTTAATACATTATAATGTTACATTATAATGTTACATACTCTAAAATAAAATTGGAAACAATGATGAAAATCTATGAAATTTCTTAATTTGTCAACTCAATATTCAAAATCGGATATTTAACCCTTTACTGTTTCAAACATAAACATATTTCTTTAAAAGGGATTAAAGAAAATTTTTTTAAAAAAAGTTTAATTAGAATTTTATCAATTATTAAGCGCAATACGTTTCAAATTAATGTTTTTAAAAAGTAGTTTTTATTAAATTTATTTCTCTTATCAATTATTAATAAAATTAATTTGTTTGAACTAGGAAATAATTACTTACTGCTTCAGCTATTTCATTTGTTAGAGGGAAAAATTATTTTTATTAAACTTTTACGTTATTTATTAGAATATTCGTACATTTCTTCTAAAAAAATTTGACTTTGAAATATTGTTTATTTATACGATGTGTGGATGCGTTGGCTCAATTGATTCTCTTATTACTAATTTTCTCCCGTCTTGAAATTCTGGAGGAGGTGGCTCGTATTGAACTATTTAAAGAGTTGATTAATTATTAGTATTGAAGAGAAAAAATGAATAATGAGAATGAAGAATAAAATTTACATACTATAAAATGCCATATGTCTATTGAAATTTTTATGACACCTAATGGTGTTCCATGTTGATAGCGCTAAAACAACCCAGCATAAACATGCTATTATATATATATATTTTTTTAAAAAAAGAATTATTAGTATAACTTTTATATTAATTTACAAATTTGAAACAACAAATTATGTGAAATTACCATATGAAAGAAACATATTAAGTTGCATAGAATATTGATAGCATTTTAACTCGGAATCTAAATTTGCCAATATACCATATTGTTTACAGTAACTAGACAAATCAAAATATAATAATAAGGCTTGAATAATGTTTCCGATGTAAACAATAAACATTAAGTAGTGCTTCTCATCCCTCACCTAAATATATTTGGTATATGTATAAATGCAAATTTGTTTAGTATAATTACATTATATTACAGAACAAAAAGAAAATAATGTACTTACACCTTTGAGCATAAAAAACGAGTAATAAAGAAATATTACGTTGATTGGCACTTGATAATTGAAAAATAATCTTCGAATACTAATTCGTCTTTTTGCTAGTGCCATTATGTCTATACCAATTATTCCTATTAAATAAGCAGTTATCCATAGCCCAATTATCATTATCTGCGCATGGAACAGTGGGAATTGAACTTCATAGATCGCATGCATTTCTAAGCAAAAGAAAAAGAAGAACTTAGAAACTAAACATATATATATGCTGAATAAACGGATTATTTACCTTTAATTTCATCATGTCTGGAATGTTTAAATTCATATACTAAAGGCCATACACTAAAATAAGAAAAAAATAAATAATAAAATTTTAAAATTATTATTATTATTTTTTTAGTTACATAATTAAAAGATGTTATCATTTACCTTTTCTTCCATAATAAATACACATATAATGTATATAGCGATTGAAATATAACTACAAGTGCAATTAAAAAACCCACACCTGCATAAAAGATTGGACTATTTGCGTTACATGTGATAGTATTGTCTTTACAATTAAAATATTGAGTGTAAAAATAAGCTATTCCTCCAAAGATAGGAAACGAATGTACACCAAGGAATGCTAATCCGTGGTAAACGGTCTTACCATAGAACTACAAATAATAAAATAAATTAATAACTAGTATTAAATATATTAAACAATCTTCAAATAAACATTATACTACCATAATCATTCCTGATAATACAGGAAAAAATAATATTGGAAATTGTATTAAATTAACTTCGAAATCTCCTGTTAAGATTAAAGTGCCAATGAACAGTAAACAATATGTGACCATATCTATAATATATGTATACAAGAAAAACTTTTCTACCCGCTTTAATTCTCTATGAAATTTACGAAGTATTTTATAAAGAACAACTAGTGAATTCATTTTTAGGAGCTGATGGAAAAAAAAGAAGATAAAAAGGAGATAAAAATTGTTAAGAAGATAACAAGGAGATGAAAATTATTAAGATAACGAAGTGATGAAAATTATTAAGAAAATAACGAGTTGAATATTATTGAGATGACGAGGAGATTAAATTTTTTATCATGGGGATATATATATATTTTAAATACAAGGAAAATATTCTTGTTTTAAGCTGTCGTTCATGGTGAAACGCACTTTGTATTTAGTGTATTATATTTACAAAGATTCTAAACCATGATGATCATTCGAATTAAAACACCACAAAACAAAAAGACTTGCTGTAAATTTAATTTCTCTTTATGAAAAAATAGATTCAAATTAAAAATCACAACATCGCAAGTTAGAAATTGTCGATAACATTATAACGCTAAGGTTCTTCCATAAGTTCTCATGAAAATAGAGCTTCTGCAAATATCACGTCTTTATGATAGAGTCAAAACATTTTTTTAAAAAAAATTTCAATAGTTACGCATGATTTAGGGAAATTTTGTAAAATTTCCCCGGTGCTACCATAAATAACAATTTATGAATTATATGCATAGTTTGACCTTTTTCTTTGTTGATTTTTAACTTTGTTGACTAAATATAATAATTTAATGCATGAAAAATATTTAAATAAAGAATTTTTGTTTTGAAATGATAACCAATAATTTATTTATGTTACAAAAATCGACATGATTATTTAGTCCTTCGTTACACTTCGGACTATTATTATGAAAGGTGATGCAAAAGTTACGCTATTGATACATTGAGATATTACACAATTCTCTCATTTACTGTTTTACATTCATGTGAAAAAGGATTAAAAAAATTAAAAAAGTTAATTGGTTATTCAAATTAATTTTAAACTTTGATTTCCCTTTATCAAATTACCGGATGGCAAAAAACGTTTTAAAACAATTTTGGCGTTTTAAAACATGTTTTAAACGTGTTTTAAAACATTAAGCACTTTACTAGCCTTTATTACGTAATACATATTTGCAATAAAAATTTAAGCACTTTATTATATAATATATATTTAGAGTATAGCCGGACCGACCTTGTTGGGAATTTTATTTGTAATAGCTTAGTGATACTAGTGATCCTCTACGTTAAATAAAATGTGCGCTAACTCTTAAAAAAAAAAAAATTATATAATATTTATTAATTTTAAATCTTCTAATCGATCAATTAAATCAAAACTAATGTCATTTCCACAATAATTACACACATTTGACGAGGTGTTTTTCGCAGCTTTTCCAAAGTGCTTACAGACGTCTTCTGATGATGGTCTTCCACGAGAATAATTTTAAAAAAAGGTTGCTTAAACATACTACAAAAAAGGTCATTAAAAAATAATTACGCAATAATCATGCAGATCAGCACCCCTTTTTTGGTGCCAGGTTCGTGGCGCAGAAAATTTTTAAAAAACATCATTAAGGATTTTTTTCTTTGACATAAAGTTTTTAAACTTATATTGTAGATGTAATTTCACCCGCGCTGCAAGTTTAATTAGGATTCGGAAGAAGGTTATGAATGCCGATTTTGACTTTACATATAAATGATTGATTCTACCGTCTTTGTCGATCGTTTCCAAAAATGGATTTCGGGAAAGAAAAATTTTTGTTAAATAAGTCAATAATGATATTTAAAATCGCCTTTGTCGTTCTAAGTAAACTGCAGCCAAAATTACAACTATCTAGTAATTTTTGAAGTTATATGTTATTAAAAAAAATTTTCTTTCGTTGCACCACAATCTGCTGGCTGCGCCACGAACCTGGCACACAAAAAAGGGATGCTGCAGATCAATGTTTTAAAACAAAAAAAAAGTTTTAAAACAATAGAAAACTGATTTAAATTGTTTTAAAACATCTTGTTTTAAATTACGTGCCATCCCTACCTGAATCCGTTATTAAGTCCGAAGTGCTATTTAAAGTTTTTCTGTTGCCCAGTGTCACGTGCGAAGCAAAAATAGTTACTGTTACTATCGATTGTACACTATCTGACTATTCGTCAGGTAGTAACAGAAATAAAATATAATTTACAAAATTCGGCAATAAATCGTAAGAAATCGGTATCAATTCTATAGGCAAGTATAGGACAAAATTCAATAAAGATATGTAAAGATATGTAAATAAAATGGCTAACAATCAATAAATGATCATCACAAATTAATCATTAAATAAAATATTCGTGTTTTATTAATAAATCGGAAATTAATAAACTGTATATAATTAAACAATAATAAACGATAAATGATTAGAAATCGGAAAGAAATTGTGTATCTTTATTAAACAATTAGCAACAATCAACAAGGAATCGACCATATTACTGCTTCACTCGGCGCTCTGTAATATTCGTTATTCCTTTACAAGGGGTTTTCTTATACTAATAATCGTTAACAATTTCTTACTCTTCCAAAAATCGGTCATCCCTCTTTCCTTTAAATATCTTCCAAAATTTGGTACATTTTCATCTATAGTTCAACTTGTCCTTTGGCCAAATAATCCGCAGTACAAATCGTCCTTTGTACAAAGTACTACTAAGATCATCATCCAGCCACTTATTATCTAATCTTCCAATTTCCGTTGTTTTTCACAATATATATAATAAAACTATATACTAATAAAAATAAAATATACTAATAAAATATAAAAAATAATTTTCGTAACAGTACCTATGATTCTTGATATACATACACTACTTGGACAAAAGTAGCGGACACCTAATTTTGCTCAATTGCTCAAAAACATACATATTAATATTACTCAAAATTTTAATATGTGATAAAATGAACACTAAAAACACATTTAAAATTTTATATCACTAGCTTTCATATAACTCCATTAATTAAATAATTAAAAAAGTAATTTTTTTTTTGTAAATGGTTAAATTAAAAAATGAGAAATACAATTGACGTCAGTATTTTTTTGATTTCTAATCTTCTAGAAAAGATAAAGATATAAAAATTTATATGCTAATTCTTTAAAGAAATAGCTTTTAAATGATATAAAATTTAACCATTTCTAATATGAGCAATTGTAAGTAAATGCGAAAATAATATAAATTTTTTGCAATTTTAGTTCAATTTTCTTTTTTTACAATTTTTTTAATAACATGTAAGCTAGCAATGAAAATTCAATACATATGCTTACGAGAATTTGTGATCACATAGAGTTTCAGGCATTAATATTATATAAATTTAAAGTTAATGGGGTGTTATTTTATTTTTATATATCAAGAATGACGCTTTTGCCGGATAAATGATGATCATCTACCAAACTACTGTAATGCATAAAATTAATTTTAAAGATGTTATAAATATTGTGTACTTTGCCTAATAAGATTTTCATTTGAACTTTTTAAAGTACCAAATTACTAGTTCCTGAGTCTTGACTTTCATGGCAAGTTATCTCTCAAAAACGAAAATCTCGTATTAAATGATCAGCAAGAAATTTTTCCTTTTGGAAACCGGATACTGTACACCCGTGTACAAGTACGAATATTAGTCATATTTATTTTATTGTTAAACTTTTAAGGCAAACATTAATTATAATTTTATTTTTGTAATTCATAAAAAAGATACAGGATATAAATAGTGACTCGAATTATTAAGCAATTTGATAACAAGTAAACTAGAAAATTTTATATTACAAATAAATAGGATAAAAATGATTTTATAACAATAAATTTGAATGAAGAACCAAATATTTGCACAATATTTTTAATCCCTAACCAAACCCGACGATAAAATTCACATATAGTATGTGAAAATTATATTTCATTACATGCCCGTACAAGAAGATTTAGTACCCACACCTTCCGGACTTTCAGTGACTCCAGCAGGACCCCGAAATATATATGTAGAGGTCAGGTTCAGAAGTGGTCCAAAATACGCATTCTTTCAGGGCCGGAATTACGATAATTTCAGCCATTATCTAAATTAGGAAATATTATTTTGGCTGAGATTATCCATAGAAGGAATGATCTACATGATTTTTTTGACTCATTATACGCAAACTTTGACCTGACCCTTTTATGTATATTTCGGGGTCCTACTCCAGCAGTTGCGATAGATGGAATAGATAGTTTAATGATAACTTCAGTTTGATTCATTTTGTTTGGAAATTTAAAGAATTTAATTGATTTTAAGAGTTTGTTAATTGTTATGTAAAAAGAACTATCAAAGTTTTTTTCTTTTTTTTTTGATTGAATTTAAGGCTTATTTTTTCTTTTTGTCTTTATAAGAAAATTTTTTGTTTATTTATATCTTTTTCATAGATTTAAAACTTTTGAGTTGAAAGATTTTTAATATTGTATAATATTAACAATATACAATAGATTTTTAATTTAGAAAATACTTTTACATTATGATTCTGTGATATTTTTTAAAATTCAGTATAAAATACCATTCAACATATAGGAGGCAGTCAGTAGAAAAGGGGGAAATTACCACTATGATAAAACTTAGTAAGACAATGATTGTTCATTATGTGATTAGTAATGGGCAGTTTTCCCCCTTTTCTACTGACCGCAACAGGGCGGACATCCCCATATTATCACGATATTGCCGATCATTTTGCCGATCACTTGTCCAATATTATCACATTAAAAAATACCGTTGAATTAGTTTTTTCACAAATTCTACATAATAATGTATAAAATTTCGATTTTTATTTACTTTATTTTATTTATTGTT